GGGGGGTGGGAGGGTTTAGGTACCACCATAAAAAAATTAGTGTATTTCTGCTTTATCTTTACTTAGTCTTTTAAATAGTTAACAAATAATCTGGAGTTTAAAGATGAACTCTTTAGAGCTATCCAGTTCAACTGCTTCTAAAGCATTCTTTTTTAACACAGAAGTATACACTAAGAAAAGATTAAATTTACACTGATTTTTTTTATTATTATTGCTTGGTTTGGCTTTCTTAGCCATTTAAATTTACAAGTTTTTATCACACAGTTTTACCAAAGATGTCCTTATCTTTCTTATTCACCAAGAAATACCTTTAAGTGATAAAATCCTGTAGCTTGTGGCTACTATCTGAATGGTATGTTTGTAACAGAGGATCATACTAGCTGTATAGCAGAAAGCCATTTAGCTAAAGACATGTTTTACACTATGTGAAATGTTTGTATTGTTAAACATGACAAAAAGGGGGTAGTCCTTGTGATTAGCTGAATTATTACTGAGTCTGAAGTTCCTGTTGTTTACAGCCGTGAAGTTCAGCTTAGTTTCAGACTGACCTGGGATGTCAGGTCCCAAACATGTGAGTGTAAAATACATCACACTTCATACTCCCATCGTTCATTAAATGCTTTAGAATTTACTGAAATCACATGCAGTATCTGGTAGAACAGCACAGCTTGGTCTTAGGGATTTATGTGCTGGAGAGAAGCAAACAAAATTATACTATCAGTGAATGATCTACCATTAGTTTGTCTAGAAGGCTCTTCACAAGCTGTTCTTTTCACTCTTGCTTGTTGCAATAATAAATTTTTGTGTGTCTGGCATTACTTTCTTTTTATGTGGTTCATGAACAAAAAAAAACTCAGAACAAATCTTGCAAGGTTATCAGTTCTTTCTTTGCTTAGCCTGTAGTTCAGTTTTATCTTTTCCAAGAAAGATCAAACTTGTTGAGACTAGTTTTGTTAATTCCCAGATGCAGCGCAGCCTAATCCCTGAGATTTGTGCAGGAACGTGCTAGTTCTCTGTTCCTTTAGTTCTTCGAATGAAAAATAAATGTATCCAGTGTCATCTTAGTGAAAACCAATGGCTGTTCTTTTCAGTCTTCTATGAATGTTGAAAAAGAGACAACCCTACATAAGGCGAGCTCTTTGGAATACTGAACCTTCCCCCCCCCCCCCCCCGTATTTGTGCAATTCCTTGCTGCATTACAGCTCTAGGCACAACCACAGTGTCAATACAGTTCATGTGTTGTTTTTCTTACTTTGTGTGTGTGTGTGCAATTACATAGCCCTGCAGGTTAGGAACCCAAATACTGCACATCAGCTATTTCACTTTGGTCCTAAACGTTTTGAAGAACAGCTGCTTCTTCATTCAAAGAATACTGAGGAGCCCTTCAGGAGATGGAAGACTCACTCCTAAATGGTTGCAGCAAATGATTCAGTTTGTCAAGCTATTTTGAATGCAAAGCTGGGAACTGCTTTCTCCCTAATGTAAAATGTGTATCAGACTTCTGATCTAAATGAGAAAGGCCTACCAAAGATTTAATTAAATGTTAACAGAATACTTTGGGGCTTCAATTGTAGATAGCAGTACAGCTAAATGTAAGTTAACGGCTAATTTTGTTAAATAAAGCTGCAAGATGTATAAAAATAATAGAGAAAAATAGATACTATCATGTTGAAGAGACTATTTCCTTTTAAGTGTTATTGTCTATTACTAGAGGCTAGATAATTTTTGGAAGTAACAATGGAAACTCTTGTTAGTATGTCCAAAATCAAGAGACAGTATTGACTTTTACAGGATTCAGACAATATCAAATTTGTATAGCTGTATCTGGAGTCTTAGATTAGGACCTTTAAAATACTGCTTATTAATATAGAGAGATTAATACTAGGGATAGTCTTTCTTACAAAAAAAATATTTTATGTCTCTAGTAGTCAAAACAAAACTAGGTCCTTTACAATTAAAATGTCTCAGAATATCTCCTGAATTGGCCTTTTCTAAGTCTTGAAAAGCTATCATTGCTCTATTACATAGCTGTTGCTAGGAATTCCAACGTTGTTCTTAACTCCATTTTATCAGTTGCTATAAACTATAAAATTTACCATATTTAGTCTAAAATGAAAGATGTTACTTTTGGGAGGGGGGATATAGCTTCAAGCCAATTCATTTCAATCAGGTTTTAATTATTTTAGCACAATAAGTATTTTTGCCTGCATGTATGTTAAAAAAAATATAATTTAAAACAACTGGAACTCATTTGGCTTGTGGCCTGATCTTGCTTATACACCAGATCTGTCTCACTACTTCTTTGAGACTGTTCACATGTGTTAGAAAATTAATGAGATTGAGTTTTGGTCCATCATTCTCAAAGAAATCTCCTAAGGTACAAGCCAAGTTTGTAGCCAACTGGCTTATTGTTTTTAAATATTTTAAAAATTCAAAATATTTTAAATTACCATCTGTAGGTTTAGATGAGATAGCCTTAAAACTGGCATAATTTCCCTATTATTACGATGTCTGTTCCAGCAGTACCTGGCAACAATTGAGAAGCTGTTACTGTGCTAGGTGCACAAAAATTGCAGACTGAATGATTAACTGCTCCCCAAAGAAAAAACACTTCTTGTGATTTCACCAGTTTTTATCTGCAGATATATAGAAGTTGGGGACAGTCTTCTGGAGATCTACAGTCCAACACCCTGGCAAAGCATGGCCAGTTTAGGTGAGATTGCTCACAGCTTTGTCCAGTCAAGTTTTGAATCTACAAGGATGGAGACTGCATAGCCTCTGGGCACCTGTTCTACTGCTTCATCACCCTTGTGGTGAAAAACCTTGTCCTAATACTGGAATTTCCCATGTTCCAGCTTGTGTCTGTTGTCTCCAGCCCCCATCCCTGTGCATCTTCAAGAAGAGTCTGGCTCCATCTTATCTATACCCACCTATTAAATTGCTGTAGACAGCAATTATATCTCCACTAAGCCTTGTGCTTTCAAGGGTGAGCAAACCTGCTTCTCACAGGCTCTTCTTGTATGTCCTGGTCTCTGATCCCCTGGCTGTCTTGATGACCTTCTACTGTAATATGCTGTAGTATGCCAGTGTCTGACTTGTGCCAGAGATTCCAAAACTAGACACCAGGCTGCAGATTTGATCTCGCAAACGCCAAGTAGAGGATCCAGAACATCTCTCTGACAGTGGCTGCGTAAGCCGTAGGCTGTCCTATATACACCACAGTTAGGAACATTTGGCAAAGGTTCATAACATAATTTCATTCTCACTTTTAGCCAGGATAAGCCAGTACTGCTGTTGAAAGAACTTAATGGTTTTGTGTTGGCTTTTGGGGGTGTTGTGGGATTGGGGGTGGTGTTTATTTTAACACTGATCTGCCTTGCAATCTGATTTGTTTCCTGGCCAGATCAATGACTGCTGACACAAGAGAACGGGCCATGTGGACAGGAGTGGAAGGGAAAAAAATGGAGCATTTTGTTTCTGTAGCAGTGCTGGTTTGTGTCAATTTACTGTGACTAGATTCCACAGTCTAAAGAGACACGGAGCATTAACTAAGATTAGTGAGGATTATGGCCTAGAACCTTCATATCCGTTAAATTAAAAGCTTCTGTTAAATTTCTCTTCGACTTTTGCAAACTTATGAAAATTCTGCATAGATTGATTATATAATATCCATCATAGGCTTATTCTGACAGCAGTTTTGTGGAATGTCCTCTTGCTTTAATAGGTTCATTTAACTGGGGAGTTTTATGAGACTTAGCTGCAGAAAAACAGAATTCTTAATTTGCTGCTCTTTTGTACAGTACTATGGCAAATGTCCACGTTCGGCTTTTAGTATTGTTATTTAATTTTTTTCTTTACATAACCATTAGTTATTTCCTTCAATTGTGCCACAGTTTGTTTTTTAAATAAGATTCTACTGAAGGGAGGAACTTAAAAACTCACCACAGTATTTAACATCAGTTGACATTTACCGCAATCTCTGATTGTTGGCACAGAATCTGTCTGGCTTCTGCTGCTTTTATGGTTCTTCCCGCTTGTTCCAGTGTTTTTTAGTTTTACCATCCTGCTGTAGATGAGTTAGATGATAGTGGTTTCAAGCAGTTGATCTAATTTTATACAGTCTCTGTCTGTCCAAAATAATTTTGTTTAAAGCATAAAGATGAAAAGAAAGGTTTCTGCAAAACCTTTCACGTATTTCACAATTCTTCCACTATCCAAGCAAAAAATCCTGTTGACTTGTGACACAGAAATCACAAAGATGGCAAATACAGCATGTGCATTTCATTAGGAAGAATATTATATTTAAATACCTCGTTTTCCTTTCTCATAAGCTTACAGAAGTGTAAATACCAGGTAAATTAACCCAATTTACTGTTTGTCTACCAAAACCAAATCCACTTTTGTCCTGAAGACTTTGCAGCGTAGGTAGAACGTTGGGAGTTATTGCCTATTATGAAATACACTGGAAATTCAGCTAGCCAGTTTCGTTCAAGGATTTGTGTTAACCAGTTTTTACTCTTGTAATATAATTTGCCAGGTGTTCTGAACTCAGGAATGCATAGTTCCTGCTCCAGAGATCTTACAGTCCATCAGGAGACACAAACATTTTAGATGCTTGCATATTAGAATATAATATATATATATATATTTAATACTATTAATTATTAATCCTTACTTACTCCAGAGCCATTATTGTTGTATTGCATCCTTGCAAACCTTTCAAGAAAATACAACCTTTTAAAAAACTGAAATGTAATTTAATTTGCTTAAAGAGTTTGTGCTGCAAGAGAAGTTTGAGCAGCATGGTGACAGACCAACAAGAAAATCAGACACGTTTAGATGCTTTCTTGTGATTTAAAGCTTTCTATATTCTTGTCTGGGATCAGTGTGGTTAAAAAAAGTAGTTGTAAATTGTGTGTATGTTAACCACACCTTGCCCCTGCAATGCACAGGTTTATCAACCAAGTCCTGTCACACCACATTCTGCCTCGTAGTGATTAACAACACCTGAAATCATTTGTGCGTTTTTCTAAGTAGGGACTGCAGAAATTGGTCCTGTAAATTTGAAAATTAAAACCAGTGAGTACTCTGCTAATGACACTATAAACTCCAGGGATTGTGTTGGCATGTTCTGGCCCTTCAGAGCCTAAGGGTGGCTTCTCTCCCCTGGGTCAGGCTGAAATACAGGAAATGACAGTGGTGAGCAGTGGGCGCTGACTCACAGCTGGGGCGGTTTACTTTGGGATGGCTGTAGTAGTTCCTGTCCCCAGCTGTCTGCCCTCCCTTTCTGTACTACAGGCATGGCCTGTGCTTTGTGGAGCAGTTGTTTAATCACTATAGTTCACAGTCCATTCTATCAAGAAGTATGTGCACTGAATCCAAATTTTGGTAATGCAGAGGAAGGTAATTTGAAATGTTTCAGCAGCTGTTTCCCAAGAAGCCGAGCTGCCCATGCAACAGAGGTCAGGAAGCTGGTGAATAAACTCCAAAGCGAGTTTTCCTTGAAAAATAAGCCTTAGAAGAATGGGAGCTATGCCCAGTTATTAAGTGGTTATCTGAAAATACTTCAGACTGCATTTTTCAGGATCCAGCAGCAACCTTGCAGTGCAAGATAAAGTAGAACTTCCCTCTTCTCAAGCAAAAAGGACAAGATTTAGTAAAGATGGCAAATATAATATGTCTGTTTACTTACAATTGAAGGCATACTGTATTATGCAGGAGTACTGCCTGCTAGACTGTTTCAGATAAAGCACTCTGTATGTTCTCTTCCCTTTCTTCCTGTTTCATTCTTGTTCTCTTCCCTGCCAAAAGAAAAGTACATGACATTTGACAATGCTATGTTGTCAAGCAAATGTATGAAGTGGCAAAAAGGATGCTTGATTCTGAGTCTTCATTGCAGATTTTTGGGAAATTTTGCTCTTAGCTGGGGGGGAACTCAGAGATTAATTTAAAGAGCCAACTGGGAGAAGTTGACTTAAGGTCACCATCTGTTAGAAGGAAGAGTTTTTCTTTGTTTGTATAGAGCCAACACAGGAGAGTCTGAGTCTTGACAGAGGCCTATGGACATGGCCATAACACAAATATATAATAGTCTTGTAATGGGCCTTTGCCCAAAGAGGGCTTCAGTTAACTTTTAGGTATTCTTATCTAAAAATGTATATTAAACTAAACAGAGTGGTCAAAGTTGAGCTTTTTCTTTTCTTTTTTTTTTTTTTTTTTTTTTTTTTTTTTTTTTAAATATCTTCCCTTGTGACTTCCCTTGAGCTGTACACTAAGAATTTAAAATAGCATTTTAGAAGTTTCTCACTTAGTGATAAAAATCTTCCACTAATAGTGACCAAGTTGCCATGCGGTATTTCTCACATTAGACCACAAAATACTTCTGCCAAGGTTGTGTCACTGTGTCCATTTGACAGATGAAGACATGGAGGCATGTGGGAGAAATGTGATTTTACTAAGGGTTGCATGCCAGGCAAGTTGCAGAAGCTGGAATAGAACCCATGCCTCCTGCATCTCTGTCTGGGCTGCTCTCCATTAGTCTGCTGTGCCTGAAGTGCACACTGATTTTAAACAAGGAACAAGATCTAGCTGAATATCAGCATAGGAAGGGTTCCACGATCATCCTATCATGCACATTTTTAAAAGATGCTAAATGCTGTTTTCAAATGCAACTGTTGTCCAAAAATGAATGCTGTCAGATGATGATTTTCATTTGCGTGGGTTATTTTCCAGGCAGAAATTTTAACGGGCATCCCAGTTGGCAACCCTGAAGATGCTGAAAAGGTGGGACGCGTGCTGTTAGAAAGAGGGTGTAAGCTCGTACTAGTTACTCTTGGAGCAGAAGGCTGCATGATGATATCAGTAGAAGAACCCATTCCAAAGCACGTTCCTGCTGGGAAGGTCAGGGCCGTGGACACTACGGTACGTTTTTGTGGTTTAACTGTCTTGCTTTGGAAAAGACTGCTTAAGCACTAAGGGAAAGCAATGAGTAATCAGCCAAATCTTTGGGCACTAGCACAAAGGCTAATTTATGACGTGAAACTGATATCTTGCTTCCAGCCTCTCGTATATTAAATGTCAGTTCACTTAAGTTTTATAGTCTGTATTGTAGATGTGCTAGAATTATTATACATACTGATAAGATACTCGTGTTCCTCCTTTACTGAAGTCAGTACCTGTTGCTGACTGTAGTGTGTGATGCCAGTGGCTTGAGCTGTAGTCTTGTTTTTTCACATTTGCCCAATCACATAATCTGTCTTGTCCAGAACTCAAATGCTGTGGGAGAAAGGAGATACTACAGCCCTCACAGTCTGAAATTGAATATTTGGCTCCTCTGATACAATCATGAATTGCTTACCAACTCTAGCACAAGATGATCAAAGACATAATTTTTGCAGAATATAGTGGAAAAAAAACCCCAAAGTTCTTGCTGCTTCATGACTATTTTATGCTTATTAGCAAGGGATACTTGGTCAGAGGCATTTTAGCCTTTGACATGAGGGTGTATTTTTCTCTTGCTGCTCAGAATTAAATGCAGAAAGCATACTCCAACAAACCACTAAATACAATACCCCCAGCAAAAAAAGTAAAACCAGGACAGGCAATAGTTAAGATAGCATTGCTATGAAAGCCTTGCCACATTGCACATATGGGGCTATTTTGTGTTCCTAGTATTATCTGACATAAATCCAAAATAATTCCAGTGGAGTTACTGAGAGCAGTGCAGGTCACGTTGTATGTAGTAACTATACATTTAAATGCCTGTTATAATAATGTCATATTACATATGTTCTGTTACAATAGTTCATAAAAATCCTGGAGATTTTACCATCTGTTGCATTCCATGTCTGAATTGCATTAATAATAACTAGTTCTTGTAGCATGTTTTTTGTCCATGGACCTCATACTGCTTCACAAAGAAGGAAAGCAGCTGCTTAAAAGATGAGGAAACAGGGACATAAGGGACTGCAATTACCTAGCTCAGTAGCATGCAGTGGCAGAGCTAGGAGTAAAGTAATTTCATCTAAAACAGAAGATCACTTGCAGATTTGGACTGTGATGTGCTGATACTGTGGAAGGCTTTGTTTCACTGTTACATTTCATCCTTTTCAATATAACTCTGAAACAGAGATGCTTGGAGTTTATTTTCCTCCGTTGCCCCTTTATCATTTAGAAGTTTGATCCTGAGTTAGTGCTGATTTTAAAATGTCCTAAAGTTCTTGTTGGGGTTGGCATGAGGTTCTTTGTAGGGGACTGCTGCCTCTACCTAATTTTAGCACAACATTAGAAGTGCCACGGGAGTAAAAGGCAGAGCTCCCAAAGCTCCTAGAAGCAGGATTTATTAGCTTGGGAGCTGTACCTTGTGAAGTTGTGAATCCACTACTGCAATCAAAGTTTAGTGTTAGAGTTTTTCTCTACATAACACAGAAGTGATGAAGAAGAAACATGTGTGATCTGCTTCTTCAAAAGAAGCAGAAAATTGCTGCCAGATCAGCTATTGTTTAGTATATTAAAGTATTTGCTGCTCTTGGAATAAAACAGCAATACTGAAACCACATACTGTGGCTGAAAAGTGCTTTTTATCTTGCCTAGCAGTTCAGAGTTTCATGACTGAACTAATTTAATGTGCTGGGTTTTTTTGTTTTGGTTTGGTTTTTTGTTTTGTTTGTTTTTTTTTTTTTTTACAATAAGAGCAATTTCTTTGAGTTTACTGAATCCTTGCCCTGCCTCCTTGTGGCCAACAGGTTATTGGCTTTCACATAGTAAAGGATTTTCACAGTTAATTTTGTTAATCTACTTAAATACCAGTGGGTTGTTTTTAGTAAAACAGCTGTGCTCAGTTTACTCTTGCAGACTTGAATGAAAAAAGATGTGTTGGCCTTTCATTATAGAAGTCTTACAGTGCTTAGACTGATTATCACTTTGCCTGAAAGAAAGCAAGTGGTTTTAAAGCAACCCTTCACAAACATTATGCAAAATAATGTCACCCTCAACTAACCTGGGTAGCTCTATTGCTAAAATAGATACTAAACGTTCTAGTAGGACATGTTATTCTCTCCAGAGGCATGTCTGCAGTTGGTCTCTCCCCAGGGGAATAAGCTGAAGCCGTAAGGTGGCTTAGCAAGTAGCCACCTATCCACAGTGTTCAGAGCTGCTTATGTGCACGTTCTTAGTATGCCATCTAATACTAAACAGACTCACACCCTTAAACTACCCTGACTTCAGCTTCTTGAGGAACCAGGCACTAATTTTTAAGCTGCCATAGTTCAATCACATCTGGTTACGTGCCTGTATCCATATTGACATTATTTGGATCTGCAGAAGGTAATGTTACTGCCAGACAGTAAATTTAGCTGAAAGTTAGAGTTAAATGATGTGTGGAACCGATCCTAGGATTTGCAAAAAGTTGCAGGGCCCATACAAAAGTAGTCTGTATTAAGACAGAGTTTGCCATTCAGAAGATACACAGGAGCTTCAAAGGCATCTTCCACTGTAGAAATTTTCCCATAGTTGCTAGCACTGCCCAGAGTCCTCTCAGCAGCAGCACAGCTTCAGGTGATGCCTCCTGCTCACATCTGTTGTCCACAGCAATTCTGAGCATTTTTTAGAATAATATTCTTGGGTAGGGACAAGCACAAAGATTAAGAAATTGAGTTCCTTCTCCCAGGTAGCGTGGTCCCCAATGTCCATGTGCATAGGATCATCAGAAAGACTAAAGGCTGATAGACTGCAGAGCCTGGCTTTTCCTCCTAGCCCTTGAGATGGTTAATCACAGAGTTTATTGGCAGAACACTGGGAAAAGCTGGCTCCATCTCCTGCTCTGTGGTGGAACATGAATCTTCAAGATTGAAAATCTGGCATTTTTCACCCACACTAAATCAATACTATAAAGGGAAAAAAATAAGGCCTGTTGATTATTTTTTTTAGCACTAATTATCTTAATGTGGGTTTTACTAATGTATGCAATGCTTTCCATGACTCTTAGCAGAGCTCCCCATACACAGTCCAAAGCATGTAGAGCACGAATAGTCGTTTAGAAGGAAGCTTTGCAAGGCATGGTATTGTAAAGCTGAAACATCTGTTTCTTCTGTTATGGCTAAATAGTGCAACAAGCTTTTGTTAAGAAAATAAACTTTCTCTTCATTTACTAGCTTTTGCTATTTTCTATGTGCAAATTTTGAATAAAAATAAGTGAGGTGTTAAAAAATCATCCTCACATTTTCTGTATGCAAGAGAGAAATATCTGATTAAGCCCACTAGCAGTATCAATTTGTATTTGAAGGAGGTGACGTACGTAAGAGACATTTGACACATTAAAAAGTACTAATATATAGATAATATAAGAAAGGTATACATTATAATCTATTTTCATTACTTTAAATAGTTGTCTTTACATCTACTTGACTTCATGAAGTTAAATATGTGCATTGACTTTATTTTTGGAAGAAGCTATTTCCACTTCAGTTGAAACTAGTACATGAAGCTGCATTAAAATAGCTGTGAGGGATAATTATATAATCCCATTTGTATGACACTTCTTCAGTTGGTAGCAGAAGGTTTCACAAACCATTCATAAATTTGAGAAGAATTTAATAGAAAACAATCGTATCAAATACAGGCCTTTTGCAGTCGTGTGTGTGCATCAAGCAGTTTGCCCACTGCTGAAGCAGAAGCACAGCTGAGGTGGAACACAGCAGCTGTTTGCAAGCACAGCTGTGGGACGTGACCGAACATCATCAGGTCAAAATTGTACTTGAGGTGAAGCGGATGATCTGTGTGATGAACCACACAATGATCGTGGGTCGTGGCATCCGCTGCTGCAGGAGCCCTGAACACACTGTCCTGGCAGAGGCACACGCAGTCTGGGGACAGGGAGGGCCACGACGCTGTCCGCACTGGAGAACAAAGCTCTGCTTTTTGTGCCCCTTCACCCTCGCTCTCCTCCACTTCTGACAATCACGCAAAGTGTAATTTACTGCACTATTTACATCTATTTACATTTACTAATTATATTCCATTGAAACTGCCAAGGAAAATTTGTCAGAAGAATGTAATTACTCAAAGCTGGAATTTGGCCAGCAGTGAGATTAGTTCCCTTCCATTTTCCAAAAACACACTATAGGATCTTACAGAGCCGAGCGCTACAAGTGGCAGCTGGAGACCAGGCCGAGCCCCTGAGGTGCTGCCAGAGGCCTGCTGAGGGCTTGCTGTGTGCAGGTGGGCTTTGCAAGGAAAATTTGTCAGAAGAATGTAATTACTCAAAGCTGGAATTTGGCCAGCAGTGAGATTAGTTCCCTTCCATTTTCCAAAAACACACTATAGGATCTTACAGAGCCGAGCGCTACAAGTGGCAGCTGGAGACCAGGCCGAGCCCCTGAGGTGCTGCCAGAGGCCTGCTGAGGGCTTGCTGTGTGCAGGTGGGCTTTGCAGAGGCAGCCAGGGGCTGCCTGGAGCTCCAGGTTCCTCAGAGTCTGAGCCTTGGAGGACTGTCCATGCCAGGCCTCCTTTGCAGCTGGGGCAGCCCAGCACTCAGTGGCTACGGCAGGCTGTGTGTCTGCTGGCTCGGGCTGCACCCTGGGGCTTGGGGCTCTGCCTTTTACTGTGGTTGCTGCTTGCAGCTGGAGCTGGGGTGTCCTGTCTGGGATCCATGCTTTGAACTGAAGGCTTGGCACAGGCAGAATCTCTCCTATGCAGGGGCATTAGTGGAAAATGGGGTGCTCTTCAACTAAGCAAGCCAGAGCTGCCCCACTGCCACCCACACCATTTCCAGGTTGCAGCATGGAGATCACCTTGGGGAAGGAAAGTACTTTGTACATTCCAGTTTGGTCTGGACCCCAGTTTGGAGCAAGATGATGAGTAACATCCACATATGCTTGCATCAGTTAGGGCGACTTTCTAATTTCCATCTCATCTGGTCTTTC